TGCATTCTTTGATGGACTTTATAGTTGTATTAGGCCTTAGGATGATTATGAACCTTCAATTTGATCCAACACGAGCCTAGTGTTGGATTTCGGGCTAGGGAGGGTGACTAATTTTATTTACGCGTTTAATCAAATTAAGGCATGTTTTCGTATTGGGCATTGGACACAACTACTCCAATTTGCATGCATATCAAATAAAACATAAAAGAAGTACTTCAAAGAAAGAGGATTTTATGCTCTTTTACAATACATTTGATCTAATCAAATCTACAAATTCTCACGGTTTAAACAAATTTGATAGATGGTCAAAGCTCAATCAGCGTAGACTTAGATTCATAATCACTTTTTCTTTAGTTAACCAATCACATTATCTAATTAAACTAGAACGCAACAATATTATTTGGTTTTTGTATTCATAGAACTGATTTAAATGAAGCTAAATAAAATGAAAGTCTAATTCTCATTTAAAGAGGGAAAGTTATTTTATCTGCTAGCTAATTTGAGCCAAAATGCAATAACATCAATTTTTTGGCCATTATGCAAAACACAAACTTTTGGGGTTACTTTCTAAATACACAAATATTCACAACTTCATGGTATTATAGCTAGAACCCAAAAATTTCAACAATTACAAAAAACTTCATTAAAGGAACAAAACTATTTAGTGAATTTGAGCCTTTGTGCAAAAACATAAACTTTTGGGTCAAAGTGAAAAACACAAAAGTATCAAAACTTTAAGTAATTGCAAGAAAGACCCAAAAGACCCCACTTGTATAGGGTGGCCGGTTTTGGTAGAGAGAAAGTGAGTGAAAATTTCATAATAATCAAAGTGTGAGGAAAGAGAGGAAAGTGTGATGAGTAGAAAAGTACCATTCAAATCACACAAACAAAGACAAACGAAGACTAAACAAAAAACAAAGTAATTTTGCATTAGAACTCCCCAACTTTTTGTTCTTGCTGTAAACATGAAGAACAGAACAATAACCCATAACGAGCTTTATGGACATTTTTCATCCAAAGAAACCCAAAACTCTCTCAAACAAAAGGGGTTTCTAATGTCACTTTAAAACTCTTAAAACTCTTTTAACAAGACAAATATGAACCCAAATTCCACACCATGTATTTGGCCAAATTTCCCCACAAACATGGCTCCAAATTTTAGTTCCAAAATTATTGCTCAAATGAACTACAACTACTACTTTTGAGATGGCAAATTTTCAAACAAAATTTACATTCAAAGAAGCAAGAATAAGCGTGTAACTATTACAACATTCAAATCACAAGCTATGAATAGCAAAAGCCAAAAAGTTCACCAACTACTAGGCCTAGGTTCTTGATACCACTTGAAGGAAATTTTTCTGATAAATTAAGTTTATTGAGCAACATATTACATGCATTTAACTATTAATTGGCAGAAGCATGCTTGTATGCACTCTAGAACAGAACTTAAACCATGAAATTCAAAACCTAGTATATTGGTGAACCGAAGACTCAACTCATGAGACAAAGAGAGATAAGATTGCTTTATACCTTTGAAGTTCCTCTTTGCATAAGCAAAGGCTAATCACCATGAGAGGGCCTTCATTCCTCTCCTTGAGTTGAACTCCTTAGCCTTCATCTTCATGTTTTTGCCTCCTTGAATGCTAGGATTTGGTTGCCCGAATGATTCTCCAAAAGCCCCCAAAGTAGAGGCTCTAAGTTCCAACACCAAGGATGGTTGAGGAAGAAGATGAGTAACCATGGAAGAAAAGATTGGTAGCTAAATCTTCCATGGTGGCCAGCCTCCTAGAGAGAAAGAAGGAGTTTGTGTTCTCTCATATTCTTTTTTAAAGATAACCCTAATGAGGCTAAAGGTATAAAGTTGCCTTTAAAGCTGCCTTTATACCTCTTTCAAAGTGAGTGGCAAGCTTGTAATAAGTCAACCATCATTCTCCCTCTAGCATGGTTGGTTTTGGTGTTTGTGTTTTGGTTAATTCCTATTCTGTTTTAGTTGACATACAACTTAAACTCAATGGACCTTGTGGACCCCAAACTCATTTGAGCCCTTAAACCCAAAACTAATTAAACCCTAATACGAACTTTTCGTATGATTAATTAACCAATTAATTAATCTTGACCATATACAATTAACCTATTTTATTGTCCTTACTCAACTTTGTTATATCCTTCAATCATTCCCTTACTCAGTGTGCGATATATTTGTGACATCCCACATCGCCCAGAGGTGTGATCCTTATATGTATATTCCCATCTCTACCTAGCACGAGGCCTTTTAGGAGCTCACTGGCTTCGGGTTCCGTAGGAACTCCGAAGTTAAGCGAGAAGGGGGCTAGAGCAATTCCATGATGGGTGACCCACTGGGAAGTTGCTCGTGAGTTCCCAAAAACAAAACCGTGAGGGAATGGTAAGCCCAAAGCGGACAATATCGTGCTACGGTGGTGGAGCGGGCTCGGGAAGTGATCCGTCCTGGGCCGGGATATGACAATTTGGTATCAGAGCCTAACCCTGGTCGCGTGTGTGCCAACGAGGACGTCGGACCCCTAAGGGGGGTGGATTGTGACATTCCACATCGCCTAGGGGTGTGATCCTTATATGTATATTCCCATCTCTACCTAGCATGAGGCCTTTTGGGAGCTCACTGGCTTCAGGTTCCGTAGGAACTCCGAAGTTAAGCGAGAAGGGGGCTAGAGCAATCCCATGATAGGTGACCCACTGGGAAGTTGCTCGTGAGTTCCCAAAAACAAAACCGTGAGGGAATGGTAAGCGCAAAGCAGACAATATCGTGCTACGGTAGTGGAGTGAGCCCGGGAAGTGATTCGCCCCGGGCCGGGATGTGACAATATTAGTTTTCCTTATAAAGAGGCAGTAGGCAATTAGATCTCTTAATAATTGATGGTGAATTGAAACTTACTTTCAATTCTCCCTTTGTGATTATTTATCTTCAAGGCTTCCACAAACCATGAGTAACACCTTAATCAAAAGAGGTTGGGCTATCAATGTAATTGACCTTCTCTAATATAATACTCTTGATTACATTGTTTGATTGATAGTTTGTTCATGTCTACTATGCAATGTGATTCTCCTGTCGACATGATTACCTTGAAAGTGATTTGGAACGGCTTCCTAAATCTCATTCATACTTTGGCCAGAGATTGTTAATCATATCAAAGAGTATTCTCCCTCAACAGTTGAAAGGTTAAAGATCCCTTATTGTACATTCACGTGCCCACGTGATTAAGTAGGTTAGCCCCAACAATGTCGTAGACACTCGCAAATGGAAGTCCTTTAACATAATCAAAGACTATTGACCTAATCACAAGACAACTAGTGTCCTTAGGTCAAATAACTACTTTGCATTATCCAACTATAAGTTCTCATGTGACATTAAGGCTGGGTTCAGTACCATTCGGTTCGGTTTTTTACCGAAACTAAAAATCAAACCGAAGTTACTATTTAGTCCGGTTCGGTTCAATTTTTTGTCCTTTTCTTCACTTCGTATTTCGTTCGGTTTGGTTTTTTCCAATTCAATTTCAGTTTGGTTCGGTTTTTTTTTTTAAATAATACAAATAATGCCAAATACAATGAAAGTTGAAGAAACTAGAAGAAAAACAAATCTTTAGCTAAAAATAACACTTCAAATCCATTCAAATCTAACATAATTTTTAAAATCAAAAAGACCAAATTCCATATCAATAAAATTGCAGACCCAGGTCATTCATATCTATCAAAATTAAGCCATATTAAAGAATAAAATCGACAAGAATTATATACAATTTGCACCACACTTAGTCGAATGTTCTAGATCAAAACTCAATGACCGAGGAGAACAAGTCCATCAGAACAATTGCGGTGAAAGGTGGCCAGATCTGGTGCATTTCAACAATGGCGAGCGAAAACCACCTTGTTGTCGACAATGGTGGAAGCCATGGCTAACTTCGGCAGAGGTATGAGTTGGACAATGGGATAAAGAGAGATGCAATAGGGAGAAAAAAAAAAGAAAGGGAAAGAAATGGGTGAGAGGGAGATGAAGGTGGCGGCATGAGAGCAAAAAAGGGAAGAAAAAAATGGAGAGAAAGAACACGGTTGGGGAGAAGAAAAGAAGGAATAATTAGTATGCTAGGGTTTCTAACTTTCTAATAGGAGGCCTAACATTTTATTTGGGCTTGAAAGGTTTGAAGTTTGGGCTTGGAATTAGTTTGGAAATAAATACTCATTATATATAATAATTAAAAATTAAAATTAATATATATTTATTCAGTTCGTTAGGTTTTGTACTTTTGGTTGGGTTTTTTTTTCGGTTCGGTTTTCAGTCCCATTTTTCTCAATTTACGGTTTTTTCAACCCACCCTATGTGACATGCATGTGAGAACTCTTGTTGATCACATTCATTGGACTCAATCTCTATTGAGCACATACGTGCTTGTCTTGGTGTTGTTTATACCATTGACTCGAAACCAATCACTCTCCCATGAGAGAAGACATAGTACTATACGAATCTATCTGGATTGTCAATGCCCAATTGTCGATTCTATAATCAGAAACGTTTAGGATATGTGTATAAAAGAAAAAGGATTCATGAATATAACTTCTTTAGAACATATTCTTTCCCTTAAACTAAACTAGTTCAATTTATCATGTGAAATATTCATAAAATATCATTTTACGATTAACTTTAGGGCACATTACACGATCAGATCTTGATTGCTATGAATTTGACCAAGGATTTGGCCGTTATAATCCATGTAACATCCAGTACTCCAAAATATCGTAGAAATTTACCAAGTTCAAAATCCGAATGACAAGTTATGATTGGCCTTGTGCTTCAACAGAGTCGACAAATGGTACATGTATAGACAAGAATCCTTGTCCGAAAAATATAGACATGCAGTTGCGGATTCATTGTCAACGAGGACATAGACTACATATAAATTTGAGTCTTCCATCCAACATAGAACATTGAATCCTCCCACAAAGTAAAAGGTGCACAATAGACCAGAAACTGAAACAATTAAAAGGGAGCATAAAAAAAATTAAAAAAAAAGAACTGCCAAACCATTGTCAAAGGACCACAACATGAGTCTACTACTTTCTTTCAAGGCTTGATTACAAAAACCATAACATAAAAATGGAAGCTAGGATTCCCAAATTAAAATTAAGCCCTCATCCCTTTTTTTTTTCCCTTTTCTTTGGTTCTCAAGTGAGTTGGGATTTTGACAAGAGTATCACTTAGCCATCATCACCTTGACGAACTCCTCGTAATTTATCTGGCCATCGCCATCAACATCAGCCTCCCGGATCATCTCATCAACTTCCTCATCAGTGAGCTTCTCCCCAAGATTGGTCATCACATGGCGGAGCTCCGCAGCGGAAATGAAGCCATTCTGATCCTTGTCAAAAACTCTGAAAGCCTCTTTCAGCTCCTCCTCAGAGTCAGTGTCCTTCATCTTCCTGGCCATGAGGTTTAAGAACTCAGGAAAGTCAATGGTCCCATTACCATCAGCGTCGACTTCATTGATCATGTCCTGGAGCTCTGCCTCAGTTGGGTTCTGCCCCAATGATCTCATGACAGTGCCAAGCTCCTTTGTGGTGATACAACCTGCATAACAAAATTATTAGAAACAACAATAAGTCGCTTCTTTTTCTTCTGGGTGCTTATGTTTGCTTATGAGGAACACAAGATATGCGGATATCGGGACTACATACTAGATACCGAAAAGTATTGGCATTCCATAAACCAGCGCCCATTTTGCATTAGTTCACCATGCAAACATAACACCGTTTGTCCAATACACACACGAGCGCAAACAAACATTTGAAAGCATGGTATTGGCAACTATGAAAACCTAATCCAAAACAGCGCACATGAATTTTAAATTTCCTAGCATCGAGAGTAATAAAGAACGCACACGACAAGAACCATACCAGCCTATCATGGACATTCTAAGAAACTAACCCATCAAGCATTCAACAAATATCATACAACGATAATCCTTGAATCTCATATTTTCTGCAAGAGAAAAATAAATCTCAAATTTCTTACACATGCTTGACAGGTTCAGATTTATGTCAACAATCACAAAGTTCCGGAATTAATTTTCCTTTTTTTTCAAATCACTAACCCTAATAACACTCAAACACAAGATTAAACCTATTTGAAATTTGAAAATTTGAATCGATCAATCGCAACCCCCTTTCAATCTGTTTTCGATTTTCACAAACGCAAGTAATAATTCCACGAAACAAAATATAAAAAGCAAAAGCCGAATTTAAAAATCAAAATCGAGGATCTACAATTCTCCAATCATAAATCGAAGATCCAAAACCAGAAATACAAGATGCAGATCTGACATAGATAAAGGAATCAAAACATGCAAATAACATGCATAATATAATTGTAAAAAATGGATGGAAATTCGGAAGAGAGAGATCTGAGTCTAACCATCGCCATCCTTGTCGAAAAGGCTGAAGGCCTCCTTGAACTCAGAGATCTGATCGTCAGTCAGCTGATCCGCCATCGATCCCCCTTGATTTCTTCTCTGTGTTTTCCTTTTCTCTTGGAAATTAGGGAGCAGAGAGAGTGGAGGAGAGTTTCAGACAAACAAGGGAAAGTTGTGGGTATAACGCGTTAAGCTGACACTTTTATATCGGCTTCCAGCGCATCCAATGCATCCCCTCCCATGTCCCATCCAATCATATCCCTTCCCGTCTCACTTTTACTATTTTACCCTTACTAACCTTTATACTCTTCCCAAGTTGTGCATCTCCCAAATTACCATATTGCTCATGTACGACGACTGCTACTCTTCTAGTGACTTCTAAATCCAAATTGCGAGTTCAAATTTCAGGCTATAATTAGTTGAACCAAAAATATATATTTATGTCTTCATTTAATACTATAGTATAGTGATATTTTTTTTACTTATAAGTGAAGTGAGAGATTTTATGTTCGATTCTCGCTAAAGAAAATTTGAACCATATTATTACTAGCTCGTTGTGAGACTAAGCTCAACTCCCCTCCTTTTTTGTATAGAAAATATCATTTGTTCAAAAAAAAAAAAATTTATCTATACCATCGTCTCTCTTTTTAATCAAGTGACTTTAGTATTAATTTATATAAATAATGGACTAAAAAATGCTAAGAAGATTCTCTGCTACTTCATGTTTTGACATAATATTTTATAATGTTAGCACGAAAATTGACGTTAAATTACAAAATTGCAGAACTTCCTAGTTAGAGAAAGTCCTTCTAGTATTTCTCTTAATATTTATATCTATATGTAATATCCATCTAAAGAACTAGTAGAATAAAAACTTCTCAACATCAGGTATGAAGAGAGAGTCAATTCAAGTATATTGTTAATAAATTCAATTCTAATTTATGAATCTGAATATTAAATATATGATTTTCCTTACTAAAAAACTATAATTTACATTAATTTATAAGGAAGGGGAGTCCAACATATAATTTCGGATACAAGAACGAATGCTTTTAAACAATGAAGCCACATACCACTTGCTAAAAAATATAACATTGAGTTATTATTAACCCTTTAAAATCTTCCTCAATCAGCCCCCATACCTACAGTTACCACAATCTTCAAAGATGGGACTTGCAAAATGTGCAGCAAACCAAGGTTTCATGTCATGAAAGCCATTATGCTAGAATTGGAAAATGTAGAAAACTAACCAAAAGCCGCAAACACACACCAGTGTGTGCTCGATGAAAGAACTTTAGATTTTTCAATGTCTTAAAATCAAGCCCAGAACGGTCGATGCTCTATATTAAACCTTATATCAAACTAGCTTTCCCGTTGAAAAAAAAAAAAAAAAAAAAAAAAAGAAAAAACTTCGTTTTGGCATGATTGCTTAAAAAATGAAACAGCACCGCAGCAGCATAGCAGCCTAGCAAAGGGGTGGAAATCAGGTTCTTATGAACAAATTCCGACCGAATGTGCGGCGCCACCTCCCTGCGCTTGTTGCTTTTGTTTTTAAAGGACATGGGATGTATCAAGTGGATGATTTTTAGCTGTTTTACTGCTGAAGTTAAATTTTCATTGGTACTTGATTACAAATGATATCAATTTATCATTTGAAAAGAATTAAAAAAAGCCTTCTTAGACTAAAAGAAGAAATAAATACTGAAACCTTTATTTATGTCAACCTATAGCTCATTTGCTTTTTATTATTACAATGTTTTTTTTTTTTTTTTTTTGTCAAACAATAGATTTTGTTAGATTAGATGCCAAATTAGCTACTGACAGAGTTTGAACCCACTCTGTTATGCAAAGGCTCAACACATTTCCTACGATTGTGGTAAAGAGTCATTTGCTTATTATTATTACAATGCTATGTAGATTAAATTTGTAACTAACTCTCTAAACTAAATGGTGTGTCACAATAAAAAATAAGTACGTTAATCAACACTTAAGTAATAATCTAATTATTGACTTTCTTGTCATTTAATTTATAAAAGAGTGTCAATAAAGCAATCGTACTATCTTATTTCCCCACCTACCTTTTACTATAAATTTTAATAGCAATTTACTCTCTTGTAAAATAACATCCAAGACCAAAGAAGAGAAAAACCTTGCTCTCTAGGTTGACAGGTTCGTTCTTCCCCATCTTATAGAACAACCCACCTCTCTAAATATTCAAAAAATCAAGTCCCTAGTACCTTTGGCCCTTTTAATTTAATATGTTTGTTTTTGGTGTCAATACCAGCAAACAGCCTTGAAGACTAAGATAAAAGCTTGTCCATAAAAGATATCAACTTGAAAAATAAGAAGACTTGAACACAATGCAATTTGTAGGCTCAACTCAGTTAACAATGAGTGATGCCAATGTATTCCATTTATAGAGAATACAAGGTATTCAGTTGCAAGGAGATTTATTTCCTATATCAAGACATTTACAAGATAAACATATTGGATAAATAAAGCTATTCATAAGCTATGCAACAGACTTGATCTTGAAGAGGTTTCTGTTTATCCAAACACTACTTGCAGGTTCGAATGTTAAGCCTGGGAAATACATTTGCTAAATTCAAGTTTTGCTTACTGGAATACTGATGTGGCTGACATGGTTTATCAGTCTGTCCACAATCAACAAATCGATTGCGGTGGGAGGCGCAGATAAAGTGGAACACAGAGTGCATAGGGCGGGTGGCGTGCTGGAGGATGGAGAAGGAGTCAAAAATTGTGTAAAATGTAAGTAAAATTGTATAGATGGATCCTCGTTGTGTATCTTGATTAATTGAATCGTTTCTTTCTAGATTTCGTTTTACTAAATAAAAAAAGAAGTTTCAATATAAAGGTTATTTGGAAATAATAGTTGGTAGAAAAATAAAATTTTAATTTTTTAACTTTTTATACTGAGTGGGATTATAACGTGAGCGGAAAAGTAAAACACTAAGATAAGTGTGACATCACACATCGCCAATGGAAGTGGTTTCGTCCGGGCCGAGATGTGACAATTTGGTATCAGGGCCTAACCCTGGCCATGGTGTGCCAACGAAGATGTCGGGCCCCTAAGGAGGGTGGATTGTGACATCCCACATCGTCCAGGGGAATGATCTTATATGTATATTCTCATCTCTATCTAGCACGAGGCCTTTTAGGAGCTCGTTGGCTTTGGGTTCCATGGGAACTTCAAAGTTAAGCGAGTAGCGCACGAGAGCACTCCCATGATGGATGACCCACTGGAAAGTTCTCGTGTGAATTCCCAGAAATAAAACCTGTGAGGATGTGCTGGGGATCCAAAGCGAATAATATCGTGTTATGGTGGAGTTGGGCCCAGAAAATAGTCCCGTCTGGACGGGATGTGACAATAAGTCTAGTAAAACTCTTTATAAAATTTAGTCTCACATTTAATCACTCTAACATTATCTTTTGAAATTTTTTTCAAAATGATCATAACGGTAAGAAAAATATGAATAACTCGAAATTTGAAATTAGAGACTTGAATTGACCAAAAGAAATAGAGGGAGAGTTATGGGGTTGGGCTTTCAAAATTAGCCACGTAGGAATACATGCCAGATTAAAAGACAAATCAGAGTCTGGAGCTCATGTAGTCCCGACTGTATCCAAGCAATTCCTTAAGTCCATATATGTGATATTTAATTTTACGCGTATGCAACGAGAGTTTTCAACCTTTTTTTAATTTTTTTTTTCTTTATTTTTTTTTTTTAACACGGTTTCTACGCGTACGCGGGATGTGAGCTCAGCCTCTCACACGTTGGCTGCCACGTACCTCCGTACCATCTTAAATTATGGGAGGACTAATGTAAGGTCATAATCTATTCAATTTTGACGTATTTGGTATCAAAGTACATGATGATGATTATATTTTTATAGTAAATTACATTTTAACCTCAGATTTAGGATCGATTTCAATTCTTTACAATATCTTTAAAATATTTCACTTTCAAACATCAAGTAATATTTTATTTCAATTTCATACATCCGTTATATTTTTCATCCATTAGTCCGTTAAAAGATGATGTGACTGCCACATTTGTGTTGACGTGGCTACTAAATTTATGTTGCGTGGCAAAAAAATATTTTTTTATGTATTTAAAATATTATAATAATTTACCCTATTAAAAAAAAAAACAAACAAACTTGAAACCATCTTCACCAATCCTTTCTCCCTCTCCTCCGCTCTCTTCACGACCCCTTCCCTGCAACCCAAATCCCCCATCCCACCCCACCACTACCTCCCTGATCTCTCCGAAACCCCACCCCCCCCCCCCAACAAAAAAAAAACCTAGATTATTTGTATGAAACCTACAAAAAAAACCCATCAGTGCTCTTTCAGCAGTGCTTGGAGAGAAGGGCTGACATTCCCCACTTGTCAACGGCGCAGACAGTGATGGTGGTGTGGTCATGATGTCGGTGGCAAGGTGGGTGAGGCTGAGGTTGTGGTTGAAGGTCGAGAACTGGGTTGGATCTGGGAATTTTGGGTTTTGGATTAGGGGATTTTGGGGGGTTCGGGGTTCAAGAGAGAGAATAAGGAGAGTGGAGGAGGGTCGGCATGTGTGTTGTGCGCTTCAGTGAGGGTGGTGAGGAGTGTGAGCGTGAGGGGGATTCTGGGATGGGGGTGTCCTCGGGTGGGGAGAAGGGGTGGGGAAGACGAACTGGGTTTTGGCTTTTTTTTTCTTTTTTTAATTAATTATTTAAAATTTTTATTAAGTGTTTAGCCACTTGGCACAAATGTGGCAGCCACGTCAGCACAAATGGAGACCCCTTATTTGCCACGTCATCACTTAACGGTTTACTTAACATATTTTCTAACGGATATATGAAATTGAAATAAAATAGTACTTGAGATATGAAAGTGAAATGTTTTAAAGATGTTGTAAGAAATTGAAATCAACCCCAAACCTGAGGGGGTAAAATGTAATTTACCCATATTTTTGTTTAATGTTTTGAATTATTGTATGTTGATGTGAAAATTAACTTGACACACAAATTAAACCATATTTGTGACAATTGTAGTATATATGTAAGTAGAGATCGTTCTAAACCGGGGATTAACTAGAGATGCTAATCAACACAAATAAGACTCAAAAACACTAGACTAGACTCTATAGACTCAAAACTAA